CCGGTTAGAAAACTGAAACTGTCGTCTCTAAGTTTTCCGTCAACGTTGTCAACTATTGTTTTACACCTCCGGCACTCTTGGTTCAACCCAGAAGCACTCCGTTACAACCTCCTTGAACCTCTCTGCAAGCTCTCAAGTTTCCACTCTCTGCTTCTCTATGTCTCTCTATCTCACTATATACGTGAATAGGGTTTTGTTTGTAACCCTAAACATATGTATAATGTAATATATATAGGGCGTCATTAAACCCTAGGTTTAATTCTACACCAACCCTAAGTCGGCTATATAAAACCCTAATGATACGTTAATACTTAACCACCATATAATTCATTAAACAAGAAATCCAACTAACGTATTTAACTAATTAATATAATTAATACAATTACATCAAATAACCAATAAAACAAAATCCAATTAACTAGAAAAATTAACAAATAAATACAACACTTAATTCAATTAAGGAAACAAAACAATTAAAATAATTCATCAATGCATCCAAATAATAGCATTCAATTAAACAGTTAAACACTAAAAATGCACTTAAACAAATAAATTAAATTCCAGGACTGTCCTTTTAAAATTATGGGTATTACATTCTTCCCCTCTAATAAAAGGAATTCCGTCCTCGGAATTCGTTCTTACCTTCTTCCCATAATTTAGGAAACTGCGAGCGAATGACATTCTCCCATTCCCAAATGGACTCAACCTCATTGTGATGAATCCATTGAATACGAACCAAAAGAATAACCTTGGTACGAAGGATTTAATCCCTACGGTCGACAATACGACACGGTGGCTCCAAATAAGTTGCATTCGGTTACAACTCAATCTCCCCCAACATCGATATGTTGATATTGATCCTCATCTCGCAGAAATATCCACAACATGGAAACATGGAACACGTTGTGTACTCGATCCAACTTATCCTGAAGTGCCAACCTATAAGCAATAGCTCCAACGCGATCCGTGATCATAAATGGATCGACAAACCGCGGTGACAACTTCCCTTTCTTCCCAAAGCGTATAACTCTTTTCATAGGAGACACTTTAAGTAGAACCTGATCCCCAACCTGAAACTCCAAAGCGCGAGTATGATGATCAGCATAGCTCTTTTGCCGACTCTGAGCAGTACGCATGCGATCCCTAATAAGAGCTATCTTCTCCGAAGTATCCTTGATAAATTTAGGACCTCAAAATCTACTCTCACCAACCACCAACCAACAAACAGGCGATCCACACGGTCGGCCGTATAACGCCTCAAACGGAATGCCATGTAACGTCACAATCTCAGTAATGTAAAGTCGCGCCAATTGTTTCGAAGTGAAGTCAGTGCGAAAAGGTAAGAAAGGAGCTGATTTCGTCAGTCTGTCCACGATAACCCAAATGGAATTGTGATCCTTGAAGGAATTTGGCAATCCTTCCACAAAATCCATAGAAATGCTCTCTCATTTCCACTCCGATATCGGTAGTGGCTGTAGAGCTCCTGGCGGTCTCTGATGATCAATCTTGACCATCTGACAAGTACTACATCGGGAGACAAAAAGAGTAATGTCCTTTTTCATACCTGCACACCAAAATCACCGTTTCATATCGTGATACATCTTGTCTCCTCCTAGATGAATAGAAAACTCAGAGTGATGAGTCTCAGTCATCACATCCTTCCTCAAAGTATCAGCAGAAGGTACACCAGACGTCCCTTGTACCGCAAGCCTCTGTCAGCCCCAATATAGTAAAATGGAACCTCCCTAGAAGCTATCCCGACAATTTTGTCAATACACTGCTGATCCGTGAGTGGTGCTTGCAAAACCTTGGGAATGGTAGAAGGTGTAACCACTAAGCAAGTCATAAAAGCATCCGATAACTCATCCACAATCCTCAAAGTGTTCCACTCAGTGGTGAAAAAAAAATAGAAAGGCTACCAACAGGTCGGCGACTGAGCGCATCTGCCACCACATTCGCTTTCCCTGGATGATACTGTATAGAAAAGTGATTGTCTTTTACAAACTCCCACCATCTCCGCTGTCTCATATTCAGCTCTCGCTAAGTGAACAAATACTGCAGACTCTTGTGATCGCTAAATAATCTGAAGGACTCACCCAACAGATAATGCTTACAAATACGTAAGGCAAAGACCACTGCTGCCAATTCCAAATCATGTGTTGGGTAATTAAGCTCATGAGGCTTGAGCTTCTGAGATCCATAAGAAATCGGACAATAACAAACTGATCCAAATAAGCCCGGAAGACTCTGTTCATTAAGTCCATGAACACTGCTGGTGCGTTAGTCGTCCCAAACGGCATGACACGAAACTCATAAGAATCATATCTCATGAGAAACATCGTTTTAGGAACTATCCTGCTCCCTAACCCTCAACTGATAATACCCTGAACGCAAATCAATCTTGGAGAAGTATGTGGCTCCCCTTAACTGATCAAACAAATCATCGATCCTGGGTAGAGGGTACTTATTCGAATAATCACCTTGTTCAACTCCCTGTAATCTATACACAGGCGAAGCGAACCATCCTTCTTCTTCACAAACAGAACCGGTACTCCCCAGGGTGAAGTACTCCTACAAATGAAACCCTGGCTAAGTAGCTGCTGAATCTGATCCCTTAGCTCGCACATCTCCACTAGTGCCATCCTATAAGGTGCCCTAGCAATAGGCGTAGTGCCTGGAGCTAAGTCGATCACAAAGTCGATCTCGCGACTAGGCAGAAATCCCTGGAATCTCCTGAAATACATCCGGGAAATCCTGTACAATTGGTATGTTATCCAATGATATAGTAATCCCCTCATCCGTCTCCTACTCTATCCGAAACAAATAGGTGCTATTGTCCCCGCTAGAGCATGACATAGCAACGACGTAAAATATCCTGACTAGGTATGGTGAACACAATAGACCTTTCCAACATAAATAACTTGAGCATGGTAGTGATAACCAATCCATCTCAAGTATCACGTCATACGTGTGCATGTCCAGGACCAAAAAATTTGCTAGAAATCTGAGTCTACCAATATCTAGTGTCACAGGCCCATCCTCCTATGTAAAATGGCGGTATTGCCAAAAAGGTGTAGAAATACCCTGAGATCTATTGCATACATGTGTCACCAACCTAAATCCCAATTATTCTGAATACTCCGTAATGCAAAACACGTAAAGTAAACAAAATACTCCGTAAGCTACCCATTTTTTTTTTGTTTTGTTTGAATATCATTAAATCCTGGGAATTCTGCCTTTGAAACCAAACCTACTATGTTGATTACACAAGTTCTTTTATAAACTTCTTGTTAACCAATCTGTCTCCACACCTGTATTTACAAGCAACTATTTGCTTGCTTGTTCCACAAACCCCAATTACTTCACTGGGATAATCATCTATTAATGAAACATAACCATCCCAATATAGTTTAATAAAACCATATATATCACCAAAATGCAATCACACAACACAATAAAGATAGCCAAAACTACCAGTTCACTTTATTAAGAACTTTTCCAAACCATAAATTGTCAAACGAATAGTCATAAAATCCTTAACTTGAACTGAACTAATAAATTCTCATTATTTTGATTAGGCATATCGATCATATGGATGTTGTAGCAATGGAATGCTCATCAACCTCTGTATCTACATTGAAAGAGGAATGAAATTTTGGATAGAATTGCGTAATATTTTTGTTGATCAAGGGAGGGATTTGGTGGTCTCTGCACCCTGCTTCATTACTTATTTGAATCATTTGTAGCTGCTGTATGTTCTTAATGTCATGCTTTGTTCAGCGATTCACATGTGATTATTCGTCCAATTGGATGGAAGGTCCAAGTCAGATCTAGAATTTCATGAACCAATAAAAAAGAGGGGGTGACCTTGGCCAAAAGAAGTACTGAAGATGCAAGAAACTCCTTCTATTCTTTCTCTCTCTAGAATTCTTACACCTCAACCCCAATCAAGATCCCCCTCCTCTTCATTCCAACTCCTATTTATAGATACTTACCAGATATTTACAAGATATTTACAAGATATTTACTAATTGCTGGACCTGGGCCTGGGCCTCAGTAAGCCCTGGTCACTCTTAATGGGCTTGCTCCCGCTCGGCCCATATGGCAGTGTCTTTTTATGGGCTGACCCAGCTGTTCGGACTGAAGGTTGTGTTTCGCGAGTCGGACCTGGCCCATGTCATCCAGGGCCTCCTCAACTGCCCCCATAATTGCCCCTTATTTAATAAGGGGTAATTATTGATGGCGTCTCATCATGACGCTGACGGCTCGAGGTAACCACGTGGGGGAGCGAACGGTCAGATCCAGAATCAATGTTCCGGGGTTCGAGGGATTTCTTGCCTTCCCGACGCTTCGGCCCTCGGGCCCCCTTGCCTATATAATGCTCTCGAATTCCACTTCACTTCCCTTTACCGTCTCCATCATCAGCCAAATCTCCCTCTTTCTAGAACTGTGCTAAGCCTTTTCCGGTGAAATCCTTCGAGAGTCATTCTCCCAGCGATCTTGCAGTCCTCCGAGGTTAGTTTCGTTCTTTTTACTTTCGGCAGGCTTCCATTTTCCCTCTTTTAGATTCTTCTTGCACCTCCACCATGGTTGTAGATCTGGGTGTTCTTCGTATGAGACTTAGACTTCCTGACAACATCGTAGTTAGGGTTTGCCCCCAAGACGTTAATATTACGACCGGCGCCGGCCTCCTGCCCGGCGAAGTCTTATTCACAAACCTTCAACTGAATGTTGTTAGGTTCCCTCTGCACCCTTTCTTTAGTTACGTCTTCAACAGATTGGGGATATCCCCTCTGCAGGCCAACCCCAACTTCTTTAGGATCATATCTGTTATGCTCTTATTGATGCGTGACAGAAATCTGGACCTTGACCTCATAGACCTCCTTCTGTGCTATAAGGTCAGTAAGATCCGTACTAACGAGCCCTTCTACCACCTCTACCCGTTCGAGAAGATGTCCATATGCACTGACACAATAAAATCTGAAAAGGGTTGGAGGGATAGCATAGTGGGTATTAGTGGGGCTTGGTCTTCGCCGGCTGCAGAGGATTACCCAATCCCGAGCGCCTTTGGTGTCTGCTCTGTCTCTTCCTATAAAAAATTCAAATCCCATAAACACGACTGCCCCTGTGAAACATGCGTTCCTCGTTTTTGCACTTACTTATGCCGCTCCCTGGGAATACCTTGTGATGACTTGAGCTACAGTGTTTGCAGGGATAGGATTAACTACTTGAAGAGATACGTTCTGAACGATATTCCTTCCTGCTCAGATCTCCTCACTTCAGACAACCTCTTTGCGCTCTCATCACTCGGCTACAATATGAGCAGACTGCAGATTCCCTCTTTTGGCAGGAGGAAAAATACTCCCCCAGTCATTCCTGCTGCTGGGGCGACCTCCTCTCCAGCGTCGGCTTCTTCTTCAGCCACCATATCTGACACTGTCCCGAGCGCAGTGGCTACTAACCCTGCTGCCAGCGCCCCTGCGGCCAACCAGAACGCGCCCTCCCCAGCTACCATAGCTCCTGCTGCTGCGGGGGGCGGTCGGGACAAAGAGCGAGGCAAAAGGCCTCATCCTGACAGTGAGATCGACCCTGAGGAGGAGCCTCTTATTAGAAGGACCCGAGTCTCTGGGCCGGGTACTCTCTTGCACCGAGCGATCAGAGCTCCTTCTCACTCTGGGCCTCCTGCAGCTGGTGGCTCTGCTTCTGCTTCAGGCCCCCCTTCTATCCCCAGCTTGCCGCCATGGGCCCCTCGGTACACTCGAACGGATGGGACGTTCGTGAAACCGAACGAGACCATGCTGAAGGATGGCCAGACCGCTATGGCCTACTACAGGAGCATGTGGACTCCGAAGGACATTGAGGCGGCAAAGGGCCTTTCCCAGAAGGACGTGTTCAGTCGCTTTCCCCAATCTGCTATGGAGGTGACTTTTATTTTCTAACTCATGAATTCTCTTATATTACTTGGTCTTGCCTTCTCCCGTTCTGACTATTGGTTTAACCGTTCTTATTGTGCACCTATGCAGACATTGTTTGGGATGATGGCCATGCAGAAGCAGGTGGAAATGGGGAACGCCAGGGCCCGAAAGTATTCTGACAGCCTGGAGGTGGCTAATAAAGAGAACGACCTCCTTGCCATGAAGAATACCGAGGTGCTGGTTCGGCTTGACAAAGCCGAGCAAGAGAGAGATGTCCTGAAAAAGGAGAATGATTCCCTTCAGGACGAGAAGGACGCCCTCCAGCTCGAGAAGAGCGTCTGGCAGACTGAGCAGGAATCACTCAGAGAAGAGAAGGCAGAACTCCAACGTCTTCTAGCTGATGAACAGTCTGCTCGGATGGCTTTTGAAAAAAGAGCTCTGGACGAGCGTACCGCTCTGATCGACGCTATCAGCAGAGTGGGTGGTGGGATGCTGGCCCTTCATGCTCGGTTCTCCAGGGTCGGTGCTCTTCGGTATGCTCAAGGATTCCGGGAAGGCTTCGCCGACCGGGTTCCGGATGAGGGACAGACCAGCTCCACTCCGGATGAGGTAGACAAGGATCTGGGGATCGAGCCTCTGGGGGTCTATGTCGACCCAGAACCCACCGAAGCGGAGCGTATATTTGATGAGTGCCAGGACATCGCATCCTCAAGGATCATCACAGCTCCTCCTACCGCTCTGCCACTGACCGCTCCCCATTCGTCAACCGTGGCTCCCTCTGTAGCCACTGCTGACGCTGAACCCCAGCCGAACGACTCAGTTATTCACCTGGATTCCCCACCTCATGAAGGTGAGGCGGCTGATGGGGCCGAGGAGGCGAGTCGGCAGGACCAGGATGCTGTTGGTACTGAGGCGTCTAGCTAGGGCTCCTTCGAATTCTTCCAGTTCATATCTTCTTGTAATGATGGACACCTCTCTTTTGTAAACTAAATGTTCAATATTAATGAAATGGCCGAACTCTTTTTCTCTATGTGTTGTGCTCTGTTCAGCTTATCTTCAGTACATATATATCTTTTCTCTCTTTTTCTTTTTACATTAGTTTTGCTGTGTGTTTGTACGGCAAGTGCCTGGCGCTCGGCTAGAATGCCACTTGCCACTTGGCTTTAAATTTTTAGCAAGTGTCTGGCGTTCGGCTTATAGTGCCAGCTGCCACTTATCTTGCTTAAGTGCCTGGCGCTCGGCTAGAATGCCACTTGCCACTTGGCTTTAAATTTTTAGCAAGTGTCTGGCGTTCGGCTTATAGTGCCAGCTGCCACTTATCTTGCTTAAGTGCCTGGCGCTCGGCTAGAATGCCACTTGCCACTTGGCTTTAAATTTTTAGCAAGTGTCTGGCGTTCGGCTTATAGTGCCAGCTGCCACTTATCTTGCTTAAGTGCCTGGCGCTCGGCTAGAATGCCACTTGCCACTTGGCTTTAAATTTTTAGCAAGTGTCTGGCGTTCGGCTTATAGTGCCAGCTGCCACTTATCTTGCTTAAGTGCCTGGCGCTCGGCTAGAATGCCACTTGCCACTTGGCTTTAAATTTTTAGCAAGTGTCTGGCGTTCGGCTTATAGTGCCAGCTGCCACTTATCTTGCTTAAGTGCCTGGCGCTCGGCTAGAATGCCACTTGCCACTTGGCTTTAAATTTTCATAGTAGACCATTGGAAAAGAAAATTCTTCTCTTCTTTTTTGTAAATTCCGGTAACTTGCTCATTCATATGTATTTGATTAACAACAAATAACATCCAATTAAAACCAGAACTTTGCTTCTATTGATAGTACCTCTTCAGAGACGTGGCGTTCCAGGGCTTGCTGACCAACTTTCCCGCCATGGTTTCCAACGTATATGCCCCTTTGCCAATGACTTCTGCAATTCTGTATGGGCCTTCCCAGGGTGGCATCATTTTTTTGACCATCCCCACCTTTCTTTTCAGAACCAGATCGCCCGGGGCAAAATCCCTGTGTTTTACTCTCTTATTGTGACTATTCGCCAGCACTTGCTGATACGATGCTAGCCTTATAGCCGCTGCGTCCCTCCTTTCGTCTATCATGTCGAGGTTCAATCTTAACATCTTGTCGTTCTGATCTCGACTCCATACTAAGCTTCTGATAGTGGGGACTAAATGCTCAACCGGTATAACTGCTTCGGTACCATACGCCATCGCGAACGGGCTCTCCCCAGTCGGCCGCCTTGGGGTGGTTCTGTAAGCCCATAGAACGTTCGGGAGTTCATCCAACCACTTCCCCTTATGATCTTCCAGCTTCTTCTTAATGCAGGCGAAAATGGTTCTGTTTGTGATTTCTGCTTGTCCGTTAGCCTGAGGATGACTTACTGCAGCCAACTTCTGGTTGATTCCATACTCCTCCAGCAGCTTTCTTACTTGCCTGCTGTCGAGGTTTGTGCCATTGTCCATGACTATTGTTCTGGGAACACCGAAGCGGCAGATAATGTTGTTCCAGATAAATCGTCTCACCTGAGTCTGAGTCACGCTAGGATACGGTTCTGCCTCCACCCATTTAGTGAAATAATCCGTGGCCAGTAACACATACTTGTTCTGAGCTCTTGCAGTTGGCAGAGGACCGACCACATCCATCCCCCATTGCGCGAAAGGCCACGGCGAGGCCATTACGTGCAATTCTTCAGGTGGTTGGTGGATCATTGGTCCATATCGTTGGCACTTATCGCACCTTCGAGAGAACTCCTCCGCATCTCTTGACATGTTTGGCCAAAAATACCCTTGTGTCATTGCTTTATGCGCTAACGATCTTCCCCCAGAATGATTGCCACACACACCCTCATGAATAGCTCGCAATACCTGCTGCGATTCCGCGGGGGTGACACATTTCAAGTACGGGCCAGAATAGGACCTTCTGTACAGCTGGTTCCGCACGATGGCGTACTTGGCAGCATTCTTTTTGAGTTTCCTAGCTTCATCCCTTTGCATAGGCAAAATGCCATCTCGAATATAGGTAATGATTGGGTCAATCCAACTCGGTTCATACGGTATGACGTTGACTTGCCAAGGGTCCGAGACCATCGGTTCTTCGAAAATGGACGGCTGGGTCACTATTCCCACTGGAATCACCCTCGCCAATGTTTCACCGCAACTTGAAGCACTGCATGCTAAACGGTCTGCATCTGCATTCTGTTCCCTCGGCAACTGTATGAATTCAATCTTTGCAAAGTCTTTGGCTCTACGCAGAACGGCAGAACGGTATGCCCCCATCATGTCATCCTTGGTTGCGTACTCACCATTTACCTGCCGAACAATCAGCTGCGAGTCACTATACACTGTCAAACTTTTGATCTGTAGCTCTTTGGCCAACTTTAATCCATTTAGCAACGCCTCGTATTCCGCTTCATTATTGGTGGCTCGGAACTCAAGTCTGAGTGCTTGGCTCAAGGAAGTACCCTCTGGGGTTTGCAGTTTGATCCCAATCCCAGCCCCCGTCTGGTTAGAGGAGCCATCCACAAAAAGTTTCCAAGAGCCGCTTCTAAGGTCCTCTTCCGTATCTTCGGCATCACATTCTAGTAGGAAATCGGCCACCGCTTGCCCTTTAATAGCTGTTCTCGGCTCGTACGTTATGTCAAATGAACTCAACTCTATGGCCCACTTTGTCATTCTGCCCGAGAGCTCTGGCTTGTGCATGAGCGTTCTGATTGGGAAAGTTGTTAGAACAGCTATGGGGTGGGATTCAAAATAATGCCTTAACTTTCTTTTTGCATTTACAAGTGCAAGTACCACCCGTTCGGCCTTTGAGTATCTTTTTTCTGCCTCCATCAGTGTTTTGCTTACATAAAATACTGGGTATTGCACCCCTTCCTTGCAACGAATCAGAACGGCACTCGTCGCGACACCAGATACTCCAAGATATAGAAATAACTTTTCTTCCGGTTCTGGGGCTGACAGGACTGGCGGATTCTGCATATATTGCTTCAAATGAGTCAATGCCTGTCGTTGCTCATCCCCCCAGACCTGCCTTCCATGGCTCCGAATCGTGTCAAAGAATGGTCTGCAGTGGTCTGACAACTTTGAAATAAATCGACTTAATGCAGCTATTCGTCCTGTTAGGGCTTGCACCTCTCTGATCGTCTTTGGCTCGGCATTCTTAATCAAAGCCTTTGCTTGAGCGGGGCTAACTTCGATGCCCCTGCGGTTGACCACGTGCCCCAGAAACTGCCCGGAACTTACACCGAACGAGCACTTGGTCGGATTGAGCCTCATCCCATATCGCTTTAGTACATCAAATACCTCTTGCAGATGCTTCAGATGATCATCCTTTTTCCTACTTTTCACCACCATGTCATCAATGTAGGCTTCGACAATCTTACCCATTTGATTCTTAAAAACTTTGCTGACAAGTCGTTGATAAGTTGCTCCCGCATTCTTTAATCCAAAAGGCATAACCTTGTAGCAGTACGTTCCTCGCTCGGTGACAAAAGAAGTTTTTTCTTCATCTGCGGGGTCCATAGGAATCTGATTATAACCTGAATATGCGTCCAGAAAGGTTAAACGCTCATACCCCGTGGTGGCATCCACCATTTGATCAATCTTAGGCAACGGGAAACTGTCCTTCGGGCAGGCTTTGTTTAAATTGGTGAAATCAATGCATACGCGCCATTTCCCATTTTTCTTCTGCACCACAACGACGTTGGACAACCACTCAGGGTAGTGCACCTCTCTGATAAATCCCGCATCAAGCAGCCTATCAACTTCTTCCGTTATGATCTGATTACGTTCTGGAGCAAATCTTCGCTGCTTCTGTTTCACTGGTTTGAAATTAGGATTGACATTCAGGGAATGACAGGAGACGGAAGGACTAATTCCAGGCATGTCGAGATGACTCCAGGCAAATACGTCGACATTGTGGGATAAGAAATCCACTAGCTCTTGCTGCTCTTCTCTGGTCAGTCTTATACCCACTCTGGTAGTTCGTTCTGGCCTGGACTGATCGATCTGCACATCTAGAAGGGGCTCCTCGGTCAAGTCGGCTGACTCCTCCACCCTATTCTGCTCGAGTGGAGGTTCCTGTAATTGCTATCTGGGGCTTGTCGACCGGACGGGCGCCTTTCCCTTCCCTGCATGCTTTAGTGTGACGGAATAACATTCTTTGGCTGCGACCTGATCCCCCCGAATGTCTATCACTTTATCTCCATCGGGCCCGAGGCACCTCATGACCTGATGCAGAGTTGAGGGTACACCTCGGACTCTGTGAATCCATCCTCTTCCCATCAGGAGATTATACGAGGGGTGAATTTCCACAACCACAAAAGTTTCCATAAGAGCTCGCTCTGCAGCTTGAACTTCTACTTCCACCATCCCGACGGGTTCCACCCTCTTCCCATCGAACCCTAATAAGGGATTTCCGGTGGGCTTGAGCCTCTCTGGTTTAATGTCGAGCCTGTCAAACGTGTCCCTCGGCATAACATTCGCACTGCTCCCAGGATCGATCAGAACTCTGCGCACCAAGCACTCTGCCACTGTCAAACTGACTACCAACGGGTCGTCATGAGGCAGTTGGACACGCTGCAGGTCTGTCCAGTCGAACTTTATCTGCATTGACGGGCTCTGTTGGTGTAGAGTGGTCACATTGCCGACCCTTTTCTTCATCTGCGCCTGCCGCAGGCGCACCCGTAGCAGCTCATCTGGCTCTTCACTAGGCTCGGGTCGACCATGGATAGCATTGATTATACGAACTGGTTGCGAATTGTGGGAGCTTTGTTTATGACTCCTTTTTATTTGTTCCCCTGGTCGGTTCTGCTCCATCGCCGAGCCTTGAACATAACTCGCAAACTCCCCTCTAGCTATCAACATCTCCACTTGCCTCCTCAGGTTCCTGCATTCGTTAGTCTGATGTCCGAAATCAGAATGAAAAGCACAATGTTTAGTTTGATCCCTCTGTTCGAGGGGTTGTCTAATTGGCAGTGGTGGATGAAACTTGTCCTTGTTCTCCTGATATAACCTCGCCAGAGTGACCTTCAGCGGAGTAATCAACTCTTCCTCCCTGGACCTTTTTTCGGCCTTCCAAGTGGTCTGACGTTGCGGCTGAGCCTGCTTCTGCCTGATCTTTGCCTTGGACTTTTCCTCGGTCGACACAAGCGACGTTGTCCGAGCATTAGCTGCCTCCTCTTCTTCGAGGCGCACAAAGCCATCGGCTCTCTCATTGAGTTCATCCATGGTAGCTGGCGTATTCACTACCAGACTGGTGTGAAACGGAGTTCCGCGTGTCATGGCTAACTTGAAGGCTTGAACTGCCGTAGAAGGATGGCATTCGATTACCATACTCTTAGTGAGATTAAACCTGGTAAGAAAGGCCTGGAGCCGTTCATCCTTGTGTTGCCGCATCGTGAACAGGCTCGAGATGTCCTTCGGCGGGCGTTTGTTCCCATAGTACTGGCTTATGAACCGATCGCACAGGTCCCTGAAACTGCCAATGGAGCTCCTAGGCAAGTTTTTGAACCAGCTGAGCGCCGGTCCGGCCAAACTTGTAGGGAAGCATTTGCACATTAAAGAGTCGTTTTCCGTATTCAGGGCCATTTTCAACTGGATATGATACACATGATCGATCGGATCGGTTGTTCCGTCAAACAGAATAAAGACTGGCATAGCAAACTTCCTTGGATGCGGCGCATTCAAGATCTCGTCGGTGAATGGTGAATCCACCGTCCGAGCTGCGGATCGGAGAGCTTCATTCTCTCTCTGGAGTCCGGCGGTAGCTCTGTGAGTTACGGTTCTGCCCTCCGAACCGTGATGAGTGACAGTAACCATGGAGGGCCGGTAAGACGGATCGAACGACCGTTCCTCTATGAACTCTCTCTGCCAAGGCGACGCTACTCGACGGCGATCTACCTCCATCACTTCCTCTCGGTCAAACCTTTCCCGCTGCGGATCAACGTGAGTCGAGCCTTCGTGATCTTCAACTCGACGAACATTTGGCGGCGAATTGTCCATCATCCTTTCATCACGGTGGTGAGCTGACTGATTGTTCTCGTTCTGATCGCCTTGATGCGCGATACTAGATGGAACACCTCCTTCTCCGACCGGAAGCGGATGCGAGACTGCGGGTATCTGCCGATGCTGCAATCCAGCTTTCAATTCTGCATTTTCTTTTCTGAGAGCTTCAATCAAATTCATCAACTCTTCAAGCTTTGTTTGCTGGACAGCCTCCATCGGATTGGAGCTTTCACCTATCATTATTCCCGAACGGAGTAAAGGCATTAATCTCAAGTTCGCGAGTAGATCTGAGCTTCGTGAGTAGGAATTTTTAGATCTGGCTTCTAATTCTCCGAATTATGCTCACTGTTTACAAGATCTGAATTGCCTGGACTCTAAATCCGTCAAATCCTGTCACAATCGAGCAACTCGCGGTTGCGTAGATCTGAAGTCACTCCTGCCAAAGCTTCAAGAATCGTAATTCCTCCAGAGTAGGTCACAATCGCTCAGATCTGGATTCAAATCCGCAAGATCGAGTCTCGATCAACCGAATTGGTTTGAATCCATTCGATACTCCTCATTGATCAACCAAACTTTTTTGCGTTTCCCACAGACGGCGCCAATTGAAGATGCAAGAAACTCCTTCTATTCTTTCTCTCTCTAGAATTCTTACACCTCAACCCCAATCAAGATCCCCCTCCTCTTCATTCCAACTCCTATTTATAGATACTTACCAGATATTTACAAGATATTTACAAGATATTTACTAATTGCTGGACCTGGGCCTGGGCCTCAGTAAGCCCTGGTCACTCTTAATGGGCTTGCTCCCGCTCGGCCCATATGGCAGTGTCTTTTTATGGGCTGACCCAGCTGTTCGGACTGAAGGTTGTGTTTCGCGAGTCGGACCTGGCCCATGTCATCCAGGGCCTCCTCAAGTACCAAAACATTCTTTTAACTCATTTTCCTCAACAACAAAATACATACATGAATAAACAAATAAAAACATTTCCGGGTAACAATATTGTTATACTACTTTTCAAATAGTAATAATTTTTTTTAGGTCTAACAACCTCAAGAGAGAGAAGAGAGTTTCTAAGTTCTCAGTAATTTTAAATCTAGACAATAACTACCAAAGCCTAATGGTATCTTTCTTCTTTCAAAGTGAAAGGTAGAGGAATAAAAAAAAAAAAAGGTAAGAGTGCAAGTTCTTTGGTTGGGGAAAAAATAAAACTAAAAATTGATTCGAGTGTTCATACATACATTATTATAAAACACAACCAAATGAACATTCTAAATATCTTTCAAGAGCATCATTTCACCACTTGTACTATCAAACCCTATGCAGAAGTTGACAAAGTCTGGTCTTACACATACATTTCACACAAACAAGCAGAATTTATCTATGAACTGACATGTTTGTTAAGCATAACAAAGAAGAAAAAAAAACTTGACAGAATAGCCGGAGCATACCCAACAAAAACCAGTATTATCATTCTTCAGCCAGACCTCCAAGTTCTCACCCAAAAACAAAAAAAAAAAACATCATTTCTCATATAAAGATATCTAATTAGTTCTTTCTCACAAAAAATCACTAACCAGAGTGTTAAAGTTAATATCATGCGTGTAAGTCGAACTCTACACATCTCATAGCAGAAATGTCTAAAGGACTTTCTCAACTCTCATGACACTTTGCATTATAGCCAATGAATTTTTTTTAAAGTTAATATAATGTGTGTAACTCGAGCTCTACACATTTCAGCATGAATGTCTGGAGGACTTTCTCGTGAGAGCATGAATTTAGAAGACAGCAGAGATGTAGTTATCAACAAATGTTGCGTGATACTGGCTCTGTTAATAAAAACAAAGTATTAAAGAAATAATTAATAAAATCAAAATAAATACCACCAAACAAAACATAAAAAGAATTTAAACCTAGGCAAAAAAAAACATACCTATTTTCTTTTTGCCTACTCCACCCATTCCCATCAACTCTCTTCTTTTAGAGAAGAGACCTATATTATTAGGACAAAAGAGGAAAAGTTTTAAAAGCGTTAATAAACTTGTAAAACATATATTCTGAAATTGAAAACTAAACTTCCAAGTCTTTAATTCCCATTAATAAATTGTTCGAGCATCCCATCATAACAATATTATATGTATATAGAAACAAAAACAAAAACAAAAAATCAGTATGTAAAACATGAATAAATAAACGTAACCAATAGCTAAAAATGCCAATTAAAATTTAAAAAAAGTAAGAGTTTGTTACCTGATGACTGAGGATGCATGTTTCTTGAACCTTGTTCTTACTAAATGTTAAGGCCCAATGCCAACCCTAAAAATAAGAACACTCAAGTTGTGAGGAAAATGTTTCACAATCTCCCTCATAACAAATAAAGCACCACTATCTAAGTACTATCGGTATCATGTATCAACCCAACCCAACTATGCTTTCAGTCAAAATATTAGACACCTATATGTGAAAAGTGGAAAGAGGTGTGATTACACATAGGTGCGATGAGCACATATTATACTCAGCTCTAATGTTAAATTTATCCAATAACAAAATATAATAAATCAGTTTAGAAATAATCTTCAAAATTAACAAATCAATATCCTCATATTCATCAAAAACCAAAATTTGAAAATAAAAATATGACAGAAAGATTAAATATTTCCTTCGTGCATTACACAGAGATTTCTCAATGGGGTGGGCTAAATCAAAATATAGCAACCAAAATCAACTGTTGTTTAATTCAATTTTAGTTTACTAATAATGTTTCTTTAGACAATTGACCGATTAAGGCATAGAAAATCCTATTTGGGTAATTAATGAAAAAAATTACCAATTTATTTCTGAATAATTCATCACTCAGTACCTACCCTATCTCTTCTTTTGACAAATTTACTAATCCTGTTTGAGAATCTACTAGTGGAAGCAGAGTGCGAGGTAGTTCATGGAATCATGGCAAGCCCCTTCCAACACTATGGAATTCACTCAAAAGAATGCTTTTTGTAAGTATTTTAATTTTCAAGAAGTAACTTTAGAGCTTTACCCTATATTAAGCAGTTTTGCTTGTCAAAGTTCTTGTTATAACTTTTTTTTAGTTCCGAAACGATTTCCATCTCAAAAAGCTTGGCATGTTGATAGAAATTGTTTCAGATTCAATCTCTGCAGATTTCTAATCCAATTCAGATTCTTTCTTCTTCTTTTTTTTCTTTTTTTTTTTCATACCCAGATTCAAATTTTCTTGTAGATACAACAACAAAAAAGAAAAAGAAAAAAAGAAGTTATAGAAATAAATAAAAAAATAAAAAAAAAAAAAAAAAAATTGTTTTGCTGAAATAAAATGTATATATGGCGATTACCTCAAAATGTTTATATTGTAAAATAAATAAATAAATAAAAAATAAAAATAAAAAAAGATCATAAAAAATTTCACCATATAGGATTTTTTAGTTTGCAAAACAAGAATTACAGAGCTTGATTAGTTGATTTAGACAAAAACTTAAAACAATACCCATACATACAAGTTAGCAGATGCAGAGAGAGGGCCGAGGGGGGTAAGCTTGAGAGTTGAGAGACAGCCGCTGAAGCTTGCAAACGGCGAACCCGAATTGGAACAGCGGGCAATGGAAACTGAAAGATATGGGTTTTGATTTTTTGAACAATCTGAAATCATATGCCGATATGGGTTTTGAACTTTTAATTCTTGTAGACAAATAGATAAACTGAAATATATGAGTTTTGAACTTCTGATTCTTCTAAATTTTGTAGTTTGCAGCAGCAGCAGCAGCAGCAGAGAGAGGGGGGGAGGGCAAGCTCAGAGTTGAGAACGAGAATAGAGATAGAGGCGATTGGGGAAGCTGAAATGATTTGTCTTAAAAAGCAGGTTTGGTCAAATCTATGGGTCAAAAGGCAGGTTTGGTACTGAAATTGCAGGATACGGGCTGATTTAATTCTGATACAGGGATAATGATATTCCGTCTTTAGAGTTTTCAAACTCACAGAAGCTCATTGTCACAAGAGCAACAAACAAAGGTGATTGATTACGTAACACGGTCTACAATAATTTATCACCAAAATAATATTCCATTCATTTCATATTAATTATCAACTTAAAAAATTTTGATTCGTGATTTTTATGAATCAAAATTACCGAAGTAGATATAAGATTTAGATACTATACAAATACATAAAAAAAAATATAAATAAAAATAATTTCAAATAACTCAAAAATAAAATATAATAGTAATTCAAAATTTTTAAAATTGACTACTAATGGGATGGAAGTGATACCAGTAACTACTAAAATTTTGAACTACTTTTTGTTTTTTTTTGGTGACCCATCATCCATGTTAGAGTATTATAAATTTTGAAGCTTTGTCGCCTTGAATTAGTAGCAGCCCTACGTTTATTTGGCTTGGGCGTTTTATTATAATATGGCGACTGAATTGACTTGGAATTGATTGAGTGAGCTAATTCTATTAATAATTATTTTATGTTTTTTAGTTGGGCTAAAATTAGTATAGTATAAAAAAAAAAAAAAAAAAAAAAATTAGAATGCGTTCAAGTCTACCAAAACTCACCCCTACATCTATCATTAGGGTTAGAAATAATGTAATTTGTGTTTGTAAATTATAATTGCATCGTATCAATTTAAAAATATTTTACTAAATAATTCAATCAAAACACCACCTGTTTAATGATACGCAAGAAACGTTAAACCCCAATCCATATAGTGTGTATTCTGCTGTGGATTAGTGAGTGTGTTTTGTACTAAGGTATTGTCTTTTGGGCAAATGGATGGTAACAAATGGCACCAATTTGATCAAGATAGTTGACGGGATGTAATGAAAGGCTGTTGCGCCTGGGGGAAGACTCAGTAAAAGTGTGAGAGAATAAATTAGGATAGGGATAGAGGACAAAAGAAAAAGTGGGGTGACGTGTGAGATGTGGTGTGGATTGAATGTATAATTCGGTGTGTGCGAGTGTATTAATGTATGAGTGAGGTTAAGGATGATGTTACTGTATTACTCCCTCTATTTTAAAAAATACATTTTTTATGTAAAGAATTTAATTTTTTATGATAATAGAATTTTAATAATTTTTTATTATATTAATAAGAGTGAAGTTCTAAATATGTTTTTATTAAAAAATTAAATAATATTTTGTAATTAGTGTACTTATTTAGTTAAAAAGATAATTTGAAAATGTTATAGTAAAAAATAGTATATTTAATTTTAGAATGAGATATGTTTTTTTTCAGAAAACTCTATAAAAAAGTAGACAAACTAAAAGAGTATATATTTAAAAATAGAGATGTGTGAAAAAAAAAAAAAAAAAATTTAATTTCACCTACACTTTTTGAAGTTTTTCAATATTTCACACACACCCTCTCTACGTTTCATAATTCCACCTATTTCTCTTGAGGTTTTGATTTATGTAGCAAATTATCCCCTGCGATTAGGCAATTGACGGTGAACAAATTAGTATAAGGTCAATTTTGCCCTTTCAATACTTGAAATGACATTTTTAACCTCATTACCCGATGCAAATTTACAAAATTACCCTTAACTTATAAACTAAAAAGGATAACTGTGCCTTCATATCACCGAACCCAGAACACCCCCCATTCACCAATCGTTTCAACTTTGTAAGTCGCCGGAATTGAGCCCACAGTATTAATCCATGCACCAACAAATGGTGACCAAACAAGTCTGAACGATGTGCAAGGATGACTAGGCGATGCAAAACGGGAATTGCAGCCACATAATTTACCAACAAGGACCGACGACGAAACTGTTTTTACTGGCGAGAAACGGCGAGACTGAACTGACAGGCGATGAAGCGATTAAACGGCGGTGAAGAGAACGGCAGACATGCTTCAATGAAGGACGCTGATGAGACTGTTTGGTGGAATGAAATTACCGGCATGAAGCGGGCTGTGACAAGGATGGTGAAGCTTGCAGTTTTAACAATGGTGACGAACTTACAGAGCTAGGCCGGATTCTTCTACAGAGCTTTGGCGTGTCTATGGCCGTTTTGAATTGGGTTTCACCGAGGTGGGTTGAGGAATGGCTGCTCGCCGGACTGAACTGGGTTTGGTCGAACTTAGTTCGTTCTAGCTTTGAGCTTGACTGAATCGCAGAACTGGGTTTGGTATGACTGAATCGCTGTTAGCCGGTCTGAAAAAGGAGGAACCTTAGTTCAGTCCAAACACCGGACTTCAAAACCGTCAAATCTACGGCTGTGTAGTCGCCATCAAATCTACCTTTGTAACGCTGGATAAGAACGAGGTCAGACGGGTCAAAAATGACGACGGCGAAGTTCACAGCTACCTCGACCCAGTCCAGTCCGGTGATCCCAAGTCCGATAAAGCTCAGTTCAGTCCGGCGAAGCTTCGCGGTTTGTTCACTACATGTTGGTGGTCTTGCCTACGCTATTTTGGCACCTTAAGCAAAGCACGTTTGAACTGAGGTTCACCTCTACTGCTCGCCGGACTGGACTGAAGCTCGCCGGAGTCAAACCTGTGTGTAATGTATATGTATGTCTATGTGTCTGTCCGTATATATGTGTATGTGTGTATATGTGTCTTCGTATATGTACGTGGTGGGTGGTCAGTCGTGGTGGTGGTGGGTTGAGGTGGAGAAGCGACGAGATCGGTTTTGTAACTCGTCGGAGATCGCTTCACCCAGTTCAGTCTGGCGATCCCTACTCCGGTGAAAAGCTTGCAACGGAGGCTGTGATAAAAACCAGCGAACTGCCCTTGCAATTGAACGGCGACTGTCCTTGCAATTGAACAGCGGGCAGTAAGGAGAACGGCTCGGCTGTGATAAGAGCCACCTTTTTCTGTGGTGGCTATCGGTGGCATAGTTTCTTCGTCGCCGGCAATAATAAAGAAAAAAAGAAAGATATATATAGTGTGTCTATATATGCGTCTGAGTAGAGAGAGACATAGAGGGTATTAGAGTCTTTTCCTTTTAAGTTATAAATTTTAATATATAATTCAAGGGTAAAACAGTAAAATCACACATTTTTGTCAGTAAACTAATCGTCTGTTACCGACAGGGGGCGTAGGTGACATTAAAAAAACGTAGAGAGAGTGTGTGTGAAATATTGGTAAAGTTCAGAGAGTATAGGTGAAATTAATCCAAAAAAAAATAGATAAATATTTTGGAACAAGAGAGTACGGAGTATATATTTAGAGATAGAGATGGGGTTGTTGACTGTTAAATGACAGCTGTGCGTGGGTAGTGATGAAAAAGTTAAATGAGAGCCATAAATGAGAGATTGAAATAAATGGACCATAGAGATGATGGAGTTGTCCTTGTCAAAACGATCTCTTCCAGATACGCGTATATGATATTTACAAATATAAATTTTTATGGTGAAAAAAATATGTATATATAAATATGTAGAGAGAGAAAGGCAATACAGATGTCCGAGTACGGGAGAGAGAGTGAAAGTGTGAGATTAAGGCCCTGTTTGGTATCTGTTTTATTTCATGTGTTTTTGTTGCAGGTCCGCTACAGTAGCCCAAAAGTGGCCCAAAGCATGTTTGGCTCGTTATGTTTTGATTGGAACAGTTGTAAAACATTTTAATAAAAAAGGCCCAAAACTTGAAACACCATTTTGGTGTTTTAAGTTGTTTCAGCACTGTTTGGCCCACTTCATGCACTGTAGCGGAGGAAGTAATTCGGCCAAACTTATAACACTCTACAACAAGTATAAAGGCCACGCTTAAATATTTTAGGTCATTTTGCACCCCAATTTTCTCTCTCCTCCATTGATGTTCTCTGTGGCGATTCGACTATACAGTGCTTGCGTCTTGAAAACTTCAATCAATTCAAGCCTTTTTGCTTAAAACCACCACCGATCTAAAGCCCTTTACACTTTTCGTCAAAGAAGAAGCCAGGTTTGACCTATTTAGTTTAACTTTGTTCGATTAAGTTCAACATATTGGCTGTTTTTCTGTATTTTTGTTAGTTTTTTTTGTTGGAAATCCATAGATGGTGTGTAATATTCTTTGATTTTGGAGGGTTTTTTTTTTTAAAAATTGATTTTTTCTGAAAACCGTAGTTTTTCTTTCAGTTTTACGAACATAAAACTCTTCTATATTGTTAGATTTGAGCTTATATTTGAAGGGAAACCAATATTTGTAGAAACCCTAAATTTTTCTTTCGATTTTTGGATTAATTACCACAACAGTGTTGTGTTAGAGCCTAATAAATATTTATAGAAATCCCAAATTTTTGACAAATGGTGATATATTCGTGTTAGTTTTCTCTGATTGGTTGTTAATATGTGCTCGTCATTTCATAAGCGTACAAGACCTCTGAATTTGTCTGGGTCATGGGCACTGTCAAGGAACTGTAATTATTGATATGGATTATTATTGTGTAAAAAAATCTAACTTTTGATGAATAATGCTTCTTAATTTTGCGGGGTAAAATTACGTATGTTGGATTGACAACAATACAATACAGGAGGGTTGAAGGAATTGATTAGTCTCCATTTGAGTTAATTTATATGGTTATGACCTTTCATTTAAGTTCTGTTAGCATCAGAGGCTCTTCAACTGTATTTAATTTTGGATTTATTAGTGTGAATTTGATTAATTTGGCTGCTTGATCAATATGACTTTTCATATATGATAATATATTTATATTAGCTCCCCCTTGTCAATTGTTGGTTTAAGCTTGATGAGTATGAAGATGTATGCACCTTTTTTTTGTGCAATTGGAACTTTTATAGTTAAATAGAAGACTGTGTGATCAACCAATGAATGTGAGGTTTCAATTTTCAGTTGAGTATTGAGGAGTTGTGAAGCTATAACTAGATTATATTTGGAAACTTCCACATAGGTTTATTAATTTGTAAATGTTTTGAGTTTTTCTAGTTGTGATAGAGTAACTTTAATACCATCAATAGTTTTTCCTAATTTAAAATTATTATTTTTTTGTTATTAATTATAGTGTTGTTATTAATATGTTAGATGGATATGAATGTTGAGAATGTGGAACAATGCGGTGATTCTCTCACAATTGAAGAAGTGGTTGAAGTTACGAACGATGGAAAATTGTTATGGGATGAGTCACTCATTGAAAAATTCGTGAATATTATGGTGGAAGAAGTTAAAGCTAATAATCGTAGTGGCACAACATTTAGTAAAAATGGTTGGAGTAATTTAGTCAAACAAATGAATGTTCAAACGGGGAGAAAATTTGGTTTAACCCAACTTCGGAATAAGTTTAATGGTTTGAGGAAAATTTATACTGAGTTTAAGAAATTATTATCGGAGACTGGCGTGGGATATAACAATGAGACGGGCATGGTTATAGTTGAGGAAGAGAGATGGGACAGGTTGTGCAAGGTTAGTAATTTAATTATTAGTCCTAAATAAATAATAAAATCTTGTATATTATTGGTTATGTGGTTAATATTATAACAAAATTTGTAGGTTGTTACGAATGCAAATAAGTATAAAAAGTATGGATGTAAGCATTTTGACAAGATGTCGACTATATTTGGGGACACATATGCAAAAGGGATACATGCCCACCCATCCACTACAGCACCACCCACAATCATTTTGCCCACTCCCAATGATGACGATGATGAGGAAGAGGGTTGTGAGGTCAGTCCCCCACCTTTACGTAAAGGTAAGAAAGCCAAAAGAGATGCTTTATCTCCTGGTATAGCTGCACTCTTGTCAAACATGAATGAGAATTCTGAGAGGAGAGCTGAGAGAATGGAAGCTGCAATAGAGAAAGCAGCTAAAGCATCTTCTACTTCTACTCGTGTATCTTCATGTGAGAAAGGAGATGATGAAGCTCTCTCTCCCTCAAAAAATGATAGAGATTATGAAATGTTTGATGCCTCCATGCTCCTTTTACAAAAAATACCTGGAATTGAGATGGCCCAATTCGCTAAGGTATCGAAGTTATTACATGATTCTGAGAAGTGGCAGAAATTTTTTCTTTCGGCACCTGAGGATGTAAGAATTGGTTGGGCATTGAATGTTTGAGTTTTTCTTTATGGATGATTGTGTTTTGTGTCATCGTTTAACTTATTACTATCTCACATTTGGATGACTGTAATAACTTAAATACTTTTATTATCTCACATTTGGATGACTGTAATAACTTAAATATTTTTATTATCTCACATCTGGATGACTGTAATAACTTAAATACTTTTATTATCTCACATTTGGATTACTGTAATAACTTAAATATTTTTATTATCTCACATCTGGATTGTTGTAATAACTTAAATACTTTTTATTATCTCACATTTGGATGGCTATAATAACTTAAATAATTTTATTTCTTGGATGCCTGTTAGTACTCAAATACTTTAATACCATTATTTAAATGTTTGTTTTATTATTTAAATGTTTTGTTTATTATTTAATTGATTTGCTTATTAACTTAAATGTTTTGCTTGTATTAAATCTTTAAATAGGGTAATGGATATGTGGAACAATATAAGAAGAATAATTCAATTATATGACGATGAGGAGGACAATGAGAGTGTCTTAATATTTGCTGCTCTTTTAGAAGAGCAGAACTTCTATCAAAAGAGGCGTTGTAGGGATTCCATTTTACAAGGGGAAACATATGTTATGGAGATTCTAAACGGCCATAGAGAAAGATGTTATGAAAATTTTAGGATGTATCCTGAAGTTTTCAGAACATTGTGTAGTACCCTGAAAGGTATAGGGCTGAAGGATTCTAAATTTTTAACTGTTTATGAACAAGTGGCAATCTTTTTGCTCACTTTATCTCATAATCAAAGGAATCGTGTTGTAGCAGAGAGATTTCAACACTCCACTGAAACCATTTCTAGACACTTCCATGCTGTGTTGCATGCAGTATGTCAGTTGGGCACCCATATCATTGCCCCTCCTAATTTTTCTGTGATTCCGAATAAGATTAGAGAGTCTTCTAGGTTTTACCCTTACTTCAGGCATTGTGTGGGAGCTATAGATGGAACCCACATTCCTGCAACTCTGCCAGCAAGTACACAACTTCCATTTCGTGGTAGAAAGGGTTATACTACACAAAATGTAATGGCTGTATGTGACTTTGACATGAGGTTCACATATGTGCTAGCTGGGTGGGAAGGCTCAGCTAATGATTCGAGAATCCTAAATGAGTGTACTGAAAATGAGGCAATGAACTTTCCAGCTCCACCAGCAGGTAATATTATTTTACAAATTCACTTAATATATGGTTAGTTTATCATACTGTATATATCTTTATGTATTCTAAACATGGCAGGTAAGTATTATTTGGTGGACTCAGGGTATGCCAATAAGCCTGGTTATTTGGCCCCATTTCGAGGTCATACTTACCACTTTCAGGAATACCGTAGGACTAGACAACCTCGTGGTCGGGAGGAAGTGTTCAATCATAGGCATTCATCTTTGAGAAATATAATTGAGCGATGCTTTGGGTTATTGAAGATGAGATTCGCTATTTTGAGGGCAATGCCTCCTTATAAGTTTTCAACACAAGTATTGATTGTAATGGCTTATTGCACATTACATAATTTCATCAAAAATCAGCATCAGCCTGATGACATATTTGATGGTAATGATCCTCCTCAAAGTGATGGTGAAGATGATGAGATTGTTGAGCATGTGCCTTCGGCTCAGCTTCGAGAAATGGATCAGTTGCGTAATACTATTGCTGATCAAATTTGGAATTCTCTTCAGCACTCTTGATCCTTCTGAAAGTGGTGGTATATTTTTTCTTTTATATGTAATATATTTGTTGCTATTGTGAGCTTGCAATATATATATGTAATATAAATCTTTTTTACAGATATATAATTCAACTTAAATGCTATTATTGCAGATATGAAGTGTGTTGATGCTCTCTTGAAGGCCACATGTGCTGTTATGAAGATGATGTGTCGTTGCCATTGCATCCACTTTATGAACTTCTTATCAATTTTTAGTGACAACTATGTATTATTAATGCTTTGTTCCAAACATTTTATGTACAACTTAAACTTGTTTAATTTGTTGGTTGAATATTTAAGGACTTGTAAATGTTATACATTCTATTTCAATTATGCTTTCAATTGAGTTTGTTTTTATTTTAATGTTGTGTTGGACTATACAGGTATTAGGATAATAAAATTGAATTAGGTTATTGCAAAGAACTTGTAAATAGGTTATTGCAAATTTTTTTTACAAATATTGACTCTCATGTAGTATTGTAAAATGTGACTAGAGATTATTTATTTTAAATGTTGAGTTGGACTATACAGGTATAATCATAATAAAATTGAAGCAGGTTATTGTAAAGAACTTGTAAATAGGTTATTGCAAATTTTTTTACAAACGTTGATTCTCATGTAGTATAGTAAAATGTGACTAGAGATTATTTATTTTTAATATTGAGTTGGACTATACATGTATAATGATAATAAAATTGAAGTAGGTTATTACAAATAACTTGTAAATAGGTTATTACAAAAATTAATATATATATAATTTGGTGGGGGTTTACATTTTTTTACAAAAGAGAAGGCAAGAATTTGTATTTTGGAGTTAAATTTCTACCAATGCAGACTTATAAGAGTCGAAAATTATTATCAGCGCTGTGTAGTATTTTTTTTTTCTTCTTTCGCTAATGCGAAAAATGAGCAAAATGAATGAAACACAAACCTATGGACAATCATCACCAAAGGAACAAACTATACCAGGAAATTTCAAATAACTTAAAGTGTAGTTTCAGATCAAGATAACATGCTCTGTGTGTGTGTGTGTGTGTATTTGTGTGTTCAAATTTTAATATATTTATTAAAAATATATAGACTATTTATATAGAAATAAATTTATAAATAAATTTAAAATTTATAAAAATAAATTAAAAACAATGATAACCAAACATGTTTTTTGTTTCTGTTTTATTTTGTTTACAACAGTTAGAGCTACCAAACATGTTTTGTTTTTAAAATTCTTGAAACGCATGACTTACCAAACATGTTTTGCATGTTTTTGTTTCCGACATTTTTACAGTAAAAGATCGTTCCCAAACATGCTTCCGATTTTTGCCAAAACACTCTAATAGTAAAAACGCTATTTCTGTTTTAGTCAAAAACAAAACGCCTAAAGTAAAACGCATGCCAAACGGGCCCTAACAGGTATGAAGAGAGAGAGAGAGAATGTGGTCCACGCTTGAAGGCCTGCTCTTTCCCTAAGTACCTGATTGTTGCAGGTTGCTTTTAAGCTTTAGTTGATTTTGAATTTGCTTACATTTTGTTTCTTTTTTATTTTGGTTGCGCTTTTATTCTTGTTTGTACAGATTTTTTATTTATTCTTTTTTTTAAAAGTACAGTTTCTTATTTTAATACTACAACTTACTCCTTCTACCAAAATAAAAAATTTAAAAATTCAAGAGGTTTTTTTGCGGTCAAAGAGAGATTCAAACAAGTTGAATTGCTGCTTTAAAAACGCTTCTCTTTAATTCTTGGGCAAAGTGCTGAGTAGCTCTTTACTACAGATACATAGTTATATATATATATATAAACACTCTAGTATATATAATATATATATTGTTTCTAAAATATTTGACCATCTTTCCATTTAAAATAGGACAACTTTGTTAAAACTCCCAAAATTATTAAAAAGTGATCATAAAACTCCAACCAATTTTAAAAACCCTCAATAATATAACAATGTTATCATTTTACCCTAACTCTGTCAATTAGTCCCGTTAACCCAACGCGTGGTTAACAAATGCTTTGACAAATTAACTTTTGTGACAAAAATATCCTTGTTATCACATGTACCAAAGAAATGATGTGTATTTAAATATGTTATATCGAAAATACCCCCAAACTTGTAATAGTAAAATCACACCCACAGTGTCATCGCTTTAGTTCATCTTCTCTCCTCCATGCATGAGTTTCAGGAAGCCCTAAAAACCACCGTTATTTCATCCATTATAGAAAGCAGTGGAAGTGATTATCAAATTAAAGAAGAAAAAATAAAATCTGAATTTCATTGATTTCCAATAAAAACAAAGAGCTCGCACGGAGTAAGCCAAATGAAGAATGAAACATCTCAGATTCTAAACTTCAATTTCTTTTCTCCCTCTCCTCGATTCTTTCTGTAATTTTCACTTTGTTTTGATAAACGAATCAATTTTCAATTCCAAAACGGAGGCCAACTTTCTTTTATTATTATTATTATTATTATTATTATTATTTTTGCATACAATGCCAATACTTTCAGACAGAGAAATGAACCAGGTATAGTACATATATATTCTATGTGTGCATATATGTAGTGAGAGAAAGAGAGAAACCAACACTCGGATATCAATATCTTTGTTCTGAAGTGATAAAATTAACTGTAGGTTCCTCCATGGAGGATCATCTAAAAATTAACTTTTCGCATATTTCTCTTTGTTCTTTATTTCCTTCTGGTTCTTTCGAGTGGTCGACACGAGAGGCTTTGCAAGGTCGTTCTTCGTCTTCGGTACTTCTTTGTTTTCTCTTCTTCTGTAAGATTATCAACATTAGCTCTCTGGTCTTCGCTGGTCTTGTCGAACTGAAGATCCTTGGAGATGATATCCGGCATCACAAAGTTGGCAATCCAGTACACAAAAAGAAATACTGCACTGTTAACCAAGTCAAACATTGATATTATTGAAACATTGATATTATTGTAGCATTGATAATGATATCATTGTATCATTCTTTCTAATAAAGCATATTAGAATCATAGAAATATAATGGAATTGGAAGTGAAGAGAACCAACCAACCTTGTTTGAAGTAAGACAGTTATGTCACCGCCGGATTCTGCTGGTGCAGTGACACCAAGAACAATTGAAGTGCTGATGGCCTTGGTACTCACATGAATTGTGGTTGGAATGTTTTGCCTACGCAGAGGCGTAGTGGTTCATAGCTGGTGAGCCGAAACAGTTTAGGTGTCTCTAATGGTTGTCTGTGTTTGAGCTGCAAAGCCAAGGGAAGAATTGAAGATTGAGAATGAAGGCATCACA